CTCGGTCTATGTTTCGTATTAACTTTCGCATGCCCTTGAAGTTCCAGGGAATAAAGGATTTTGATAGGACGCTGTCACTTTTTGCTGTGGCTATGTTTACGTTTGTGATTTGCGAATGAAGAATGGCAGGATACTTTATATTAGACTTGTAGAGCTTACTAGAACTTTCATAAATCAAGGAAGGGCACAGTGCTCATCTGTGCTCTCGATAACCGTCGTCCAAGAGCCTAACTTTGATGGATGGACATCATTGTAAGTTTTGTTGGCAAAGTTCCCACGGAGATTGAACATTCCTTTTTAAACTACAAAAGTTCTAGCATGGTTGTTTTTCTGCTCTTCTTTTAACGTTCTTCTATCGTTAACGTTTATCAGCTCAAAGCTCGAACGTCACATAGTCATAGCAAATAGCTGGTATCAAATTGTACTTACTGTAGTTCTTAGTTTCAATGAACTTGCTGCTTTTGATAAGGCAGTTGGTGATCACATACCTTCTACACCACGTTGTTGATGACGACAATATTCAATAAAAATATGGAACACAAACGAAGTGGCAATGATTTACAACAACTTCAACTCCTTATGATCTGATCAGGAAACCGATCTGTAGACTTTATGGACCTTTTGTCGAATTTTTCACTTATTATTAGCCCTGTCTTATCAACCTGCATCTCTAGACAACCTAGCACCTACTTTTAATGTTCTATCACAATAACTCCTATCCGATAATTGTTGACTCCCTTTGTGCCTCCATAACAAAACATTAGTGCTACGCACGATAAATGATTCTACAGATATTTTCTCAAAATACTTTCTCATTTAGGTATTTCGATGGTCACTGTTCCCATTTCGTACGAGTTCAAAAAATTCTTGAGCTGCATTCGTTGTCTTCTAACAATCATCTATGAAAGTGGTTTGATTCGTGTGTAAGTTTGACCACAGCTTGTTAATCTGTCATTTTCTGTCCTCCTCCCTAAAAGAGTGCACGCTGTATGACTGTGTTATTTCCTCGAATTTTAAGATAAAAAAAGTGTTTAAAGAACATGTTCACTGTGCGAACAAAACTTCGTCCATGAAGTGTTATCTGCTGAGGTCACGGAAGTGTTTGACCGAGAGGGTTGCATGTCAGTTTGATTCCTCCAGGACAACCTCGCATTCGGAAGGCAGTGAAATAGCTACAAAACAGTCACAAACTTTTTCTATAAACTTGTCAAAAAGCAGATAAGTGACCAATCTTCTGCTATTTTGCCTGAAAATGGCAAACAGTCCCTACCAGATTCTACAACAATCTATAGAAGTGTTAATAAGCTAATGTGTTGTCACTCAAGAATCAGACTAAATCCTACAAAACACAATATTTTTCAAGATTAACTGGATTCAGCCCTGTCGAGGTGGGTGAGGACGAAAAACCCGTTGGCAGAAACCTGGTCCATTGTTTACAACGATACGGCAGACATCCTCTATTGCGATTTCACCAATTGCTATAACCCAAACATTAAAAATTTTCTTACTATGTTATACACCTGAAATAACGGTATTTGTCTCTGTTTTGCTACTACTATGATGTCTTCTCACTGATCTCCCTCACAGAGACATATCATACCGGTTAGTCGCGAGACAACGTGGCGCGTCTCCGGGGGCGGACAGGGAGTTAGTCGCCGATGAAAGGCGACCGTAGCCTTCTCAGAGACGGAAGTGGATCCAAGACTGGCCTCCCTGTTTCTCCTTTGCCGATTTGACACTTATATTTTGCCTTTGCGAAGATATACTCGTGCTTGTGCACGAGGATGTGTTCTTGTTAATGCGAATTGTATTCTAAGAGTTAAACCGGTTAAAAGCCTGCCTTGAGGAATCGCCTTTATAAACCAAGCTTGTTGTCTTCTCTGGGACAGAGTGACAACCTACCAGTGAGCCTCTCATGTGCATAATTCGACAAGTTATATGTAGGCGTCAAACGGTAATGTTTAAGAGCGGTAAAGCAACTTTCACGATATTGCAACTACCGTCAATCTGCTTACAGTCTATAGTCTAGAAACTCTCCAGTGGAGTCATCCTAAACTGAGCTGACAAAATACTAGATGAAGAAAAAGCCATGTGGGCGGATAGGCTATCGAAAAAACTCATTGCGATGGACCACATCCACACGATGGCAAGACTAATCGAAGTGCCATCAGAGTACAAAAGGCGTCCCGTCGATTTTCTTAAGGCCCTTCTTAAGCAGCGTTTTGTAGTTGCACTTACAACATTTGAGATGAAGGGTAGGATAAACGTGACCTTTTTATTCCTAGATTTGTCGTTTGGGATCCTCCGATTTCTCCTACACCTATCCCGAGCTACAGTTTCATAGCCATTGGAAATGGCTATTTGCCGCGCCATGTTGCATGACTCCTCCTGCTCTCTTCCCGTGCACACGTTGGTTGCCGATCGAAACATGTTCTTACAAGCGCTCTCTTCGTGTGAGAGACGTGAGAAGAGAGGTAATGTACCAAGATGTTTTTACTACATGGCTTTCGGTACCACTTCGTAATGTAGCCGTTTTCTGACAGGTTAATTTGGACGTTCAGGATTGGAGGCCAGTTTTCTCTCGGTTTCTCTAAAGTGAACTTGATATACACTGACTGTTCATTCAACAACTCGAAACATTTGTCCATTTCCTCTTATGTTGAGCAAAGGACAAAACAGTCATCTATATATCTACAGTAGAGTAACGGCCTGAGATTGGTCACTGGTGCTTTCACCTTAGACAGAAACACAATGCCAAGACTTGGTGCCAGTCGCTGTCCCATTGCCAACCCTGCTATTTGAGCGTAGTATTTTCCGGACCATCTGAAGATTGAGCAGCTCACTTTTAAGAGTGCCGTCAACTGATCTATCTTAAAGCCATACATGTTTATTTTTCCTTCGTGTTGTATAAGGAGTTCGAATATGGCTTGCATTGCTGCGTCATTCGACACGTTTGTATGAAGGGCGGTAACGTCGAAGGACTCCATCACGTACGCGCTATTGGGCTCCGCAGTACGTCGACGATCCAGGAACATCTGCGTATTCCTAAGATGGGCTCGAATATGTTTCAACAACTGGCTAAATATTAGGGTTAAAAACCATGTTATTCTATCCGTTGGTCCGTCTACGCAACTAATGATAGGTCTAACCTTAAATAACGATGGATCGGTAGACGCAAGATCACCGCTGGATACTAACTTATGAGTTTTTACAAGTAAGTACAAGACTGGACATGACTTTGAGTTGAGCGATAACTTATGGTTTTAACCCAGACGCTTTTGCCACACTAACCTATTCGTTGTTTAATTTTCGGTAATGTCTTTCAAATTTCATCTCAGACGATGAATGATGAAGGGTAACATCTTAAAGATGCTTTTCGTTATCTCAACATCTAACTGATGAGGAATTACTATAAACTCTCTACCCTTATCATTAATGGATAGTCTTATGTTTTTGGGTAGATTGGGCTAGATGGGTAGATTGCGGTCAACATGACTTTCCCAGGTTCTGAGGAAGGCGAATTCGCGGAAACGCCAACTTGTGTGGAAACAAGGAAATGAAATGATATTTTCTGTTTGCTAAACAAAAACGTAGAGAATTATTTGGCTATTATTATTCAATTCTTCGCGAAAACCGTATAAGATATGATGCTGAACAAGTCTCTAAAGCGATCAGAACCAACTGGGCTACTTTTGCACACAACAGAGAGAAATCAGAGGTTTACCGGCACCCGGTTGAGTCACTCGGTGGTCAACGAGACCACAGCCGGTGAAAGTGATACGAGGAAAATGCTGTTCGATAAGAGAAAACCAGTATATGGTCACCCTACTCTTGAGAAGCATGCGTAGCAGAGTGCTTATAGGTGCCTTCTAACGCCAGTGGTTCCTTGCTCGATTTCGAGTCCTGGACTCTTCACAGGCTTCAGTTTTTGAGGTTGATCATACCGCGGTATTAATTGCATATCCGATGTTCATCCTTCGTCTTTGCGCTGCGCCGTTGGTCTTCCCTTGTCTATGCGTTGCGTGTTGCGTCGCGTCCTTATGCATCCCCGTGTCTGCGTAGCGTTCTTTAGCGTCCTTGAGCTCATTGATTCGCCTAATCCATCATATGCGTCCTTTTTTCAAATGCTTTTTGTGAAAGTTCCTTCTGTCCTTTCAGCCTACTACGCAAGGATTTTTGCAAGTGTTGCAGCTTGTAACTCAGAAACTTGGGTAATCGGACTGATCTTTGGTCTTTTCCATTTCATATTACCCGTGATTGCATCTACTATGCGGATCGCAGCACCTATTGCATTCGACTGTTTCGCTGGGACCGTCAATACGAAGACTTTCCTACTTTTGCGTCCGTCCAACTTGTGGTGGATTCAATTTATTGTATTCATTTTTAAGTGTACATAGTTTAATAGCAGAACTTTCGTAGCGGCTGACACTTCGGCGAAATAATTATCGTCGCAGCTGCAGCGATTCGAGACGAGTCCTGGTGATTATTCCATAAGATCTGCGTCTTCGAAATGGCATCTTGAAGTAGAATCGAGTAAGATGAGAGCCGATCGGTCTATTAGTTCGGGATTCTTAACGTTATGAAGATTAGGTCAATCAGGATGGGACGTACATTCAACTTTCGATGGGTCTTTCCAAACTGGCATTGGTCACCTGCGAGTTATTAATGCTGTTTGGTTTGGCATTTATCAGTCAAGAAGAAGAAATCGCTGCGTAAAACATGGGAATGACACCGACGAATTGTTTTTCATCACAGTGTTGCACTGCATTCGGTTCGATCCAGTGCAACTGCGACGATTCTAGAAAGTTTCCAGATAATATTTGTACTCTGTACGCTTGGTTCCAATCATTGCATCTTTCAAGAAGACGGTATGACAGCGTCAGTCACAACAGCAATTCCTTAAGAATTGTATGTAGGGCTATTATTATCAGCAAGATTTCGTCTATCCCACTGTTGAATGAACGTCGGCATAAATATCCTTACTGTTCCGTTATTTTCAGATGCAAAGACCTACTATCGTATCGAGCAAGGAATCCCTTCGCTCTCCAAGTATTCCTCTTATTCGTTTTGATTTCAATGATAAGGTACGTGTCAGCTAAACTGGAACTTTCGTCGATGGTATTCGCAGACTCGTTTTTTCCTCTCATTGAAGTGTTAAGGAATTTCTAGCAATCTTTCAGTGATGCTTAGCTCGAACTTTTCAACTAGGCATTTTTCAGCACGAATATATCTAAGGCATTTCTAGTTCTGGTTTACCATGTTTGCTTCGAGATACACTGAAATCTTAATGATATTCTATGTCTATAAACTACGCTTTCCACTATATTTGTTGTGGTGTAATTCAATTTTATTTTTGAAATATTGCCTATGTTTGTTTCAGCCTCGTCGGCCCGATTTTGATGATTCGCCTTACATCGCACCTATCTCATCTCAGCACAACTACAGTTGCGAACGTAGTTCGGAGGATCTTGTGAAAGAAACTGGTGTCAATCCTACTGATGAGGAAAGCAATCTGGTACACATTTATTACTTTCATATAGAATCGATGTCATTTCGTCTTTCAATCATCGTTGAGGTATTTCGGAGCTGTATAAAATTTAAAAAATAGGTTATAAACCTCCCGGCATTGTTCAATCCCTGAGGGATGTGCCATGTATTAGACTTCATTGAGTATCGTTAGAGGTGATTTAATGACATATCTGGCCTTTACGATGATTCGCGGTGGCCTACCGATGTATCGAGCCAGTGCTGTCATCCTCCCAGACAGGTGTGGCACCAATTTGGCGACCTCGGAGGGACAGAAGGTTTAGTGAGCCTAGGGCGCCGGGATAGATCCCACTTGTGTGTAACAGGACGCATCCAATCACTGCGCTACACGTGCCTTTTATGTTTAGTATATCTTTATATTTTTGTAGATTTTCTTCGCTTCACCTACATCTGGACGGAACGTAGTTGTAAACCGGTGGGTGTTTGAAAGGTGCACTGTGTGAAAGTACATTGATGGGAGCGAAATGTGTGTATGTGTGCGTCAAGATATCTTAGTACTTTTCTCCCTAACAGTGGTTTCTTTCCCTGGCGAATAAACTCTTTTAAAGAGTTTCGTATACCATTTAGTGTACACAGTAGCTTTTTCTGATGGCGCTTCACACATCTGTGTGGGGTACCGTCGACTGGATAAAAGAATCTAACAAGAATTTCTTAGGGGAAAAACGACACTCGAAACTAAATGCATTGAAGTGGACTCATGCTGTCTAATCTCTTTCTTTAGCTTTCATTGATACCACTGCACACGTTAGCGTAGGGTACGCATTTAGACCTCTTACTGTGCTTTTGCTAATTTTTGAACCTCAGCGCCGGAATACTTCAGGAACGTCTGCCAATAGACTTCTATGTTCGCCAATCTGTTTCCACATTACCGTCGGAGTCTCCGGGGAACACTCATTCACCGTTTAGCACTGCCAACCTATTTTGTCCAAGCAAATCCAAATATGATTGTGGTCCTTCTCGAGAACTATCTGACGAAACACTAGAGGCTGTTTTTCATTATGATGTGGAATTTATTTTTTTATATGCCTTTGGGTTCTATTTCAGTTTTCCGACGTAAATAGCTCGATAGGAACACACATGGTCGAACGAGAACGCCATGACGACAGTATACATAGAGCTCTGGTACCATCGAAAGGTGTTCCTGCTGCACCAAGAACTGGCTTACACAACCACCTCTCTGCACAGCTGCAGTCCTCCTCTCGAACACCGCGTCGTGGTCCAGCCTTCGATGTTTATAAAGCTTCATTAAGTCTTGAAGAGGTAACATTTTTCTTCAGTTTCGGTTACACGTCTTGAATATACGCTAATAGAGAGAACTGGAAAAGACGTATGTTGTTCGTATGAAACACACAGTAGGCACATCTCACCACACGGCAAAAATGAATGAACTATACAAACGAGAAAGAAATTCATGGTTCCAACAGGTTGGTTATTCTGTTTGATGTTATTTCACGTGTTCATGAAACACCTAAAACCATCCTGTTCAAAAAGTGCCCTTTCAGCGTGATTCTGATGGAGAATGCCAGGAGATGTCAAGGTACATTTTGAATACTGTCAATGAATTTTACTAAGTTTTTTCAGTCCTTGTTGTGAGTTAGTTATTACATTCTAGAGAACACTGCAGTTACGTAAAATGGCATTTAATCCCTAACTCAGTAAACAATTTCCACTGTAGAAATGATTTAAATGCATCACCTGTATTGCCTGTAGTCCTGTTGATCGTCGAGTGACTCGAACGGGCACCAGTACATCTTCCATTTTTCCCTGTCGCGTTCAAGAGTAGCCCAATGGGTTTTGCTCGCTCTAGGGACTCGTCGAGCATTATGTCTTTCTTCTAGGCTCTTCGTGAAAAACTCTGACCACCGGGTTGGTGGTCTTCCTGTTGTACGTTTGACATCACAAGGATTCCGGTCACTACTGCCTCTTCTCCATCGGTTGCCACTCATACGCACTACGTGTCCGGCTCACCTTATCTTCGACTGTTTGGCGTACAGAACGGCATCTTTGATTTTTGATCGTTGTCACAGACTGGAGCATCAGATCCCATCTCTTACTTGTGTGGAACGGGATGCTCCTAGCATCATCCTTTCGACTGCTCGTTCGATAACGCTGAGTGACCTTTCACCCTGCTTACGTAGCGACCCTGACGCATACGTTGGGGCAGGAAGTACCGTTGAGTCGAAAAGGCGGGTATGGAGTCAGGTGTTCTTTGTTCTCTTCACTACATCCTCGATGCTCTTGAAAGCTCCCCAAGCTGCTTGTTTCCTTCAGCTCAGCTCTAGAGCAAGGTCGTTCATCATATTGATTTCCCGAACTAGATAGATATAACTGGAGCATTCGGAGATATTAGTTTCGTTGAGCGTGAATGGGGCATGCGAAACCAATCCGTTCTTCATGAACATCGTTTTTGTGAGATTTAGTCGAAGACCAATCTTTCCACAGGCTTTATCAAAGTCGTCAAGCATACGTTCCGCTTGGCTAATGTTTGGTGTTATAAGGACGATGTCATCAGCAGAGCTATTATGGTGTAACGATTCAAGTGCATATCCGTACCAAACTGGTGATCCGCGCTCCTTTGAATTGGACAATTTTTAGCGGTAAATTAGCGCGAACCAACACGAGCTCTGTTTTTAAAAAATCTCTTGGTGAGAAAACAATTTCAATGACATTGCGTATAAACAGAGCGGAGGTTCCTATAGGAACGATAGTTGTCATCTGGGAAAGTTAGGGAAAAGGTGATTGTGTAGAGTGCATTAATTCTGCTCAAACCATTTACCATTGTTTCAGTGATGCTCATAATCTGTCAACTTCGCGAATAGCTACAAATGGAACGAACGGGTACACATTTTAACGTATTATGCTCGACATTTGAAAGCTTTGGGAAATAAAAATATGTTTCAGTTCTCGACAGAGCTTGCGAAATCGGCCACTTTTTGATATGCGGACGAACGGACCATCGTCGAATCTTCATTCTGTGGGTATTAATATATATTAATATAAACTAATAATATACTGTTATCACACCAGTTATGTGCATATATGCGCGTTTTCGTGTGTGCGCAAATTATGTATGGGTATTCGACTTTAGCCTCAGCTTAACTAGGTTCGTTGTCGATTTGGGCTCCCCAGATCAGTCCCGTTAACAGGTCATTGCTAATGGGGCCGATCGATAGAACTAGCTGAGAGACAGGCGAATGAAGGACCCGCATGGTGTGGTGGTGAACGCGTTACTCCCCGGAAAGGACAATAGGGTGTTCGTTCCTCACCACAGACACCTGCGGTCCGGAGTTTTGCACATATCTCAGCACCATCTTAGTTGTATTTCCGTGATATTTTGCCGTTAAGGTTAAGATTATGTATGAGTCTTTATTGAGAACGGCTTGATTGTTTGAAATAAGAACCACTGGAGTATAGAAATCTCTGCCAATGGGATATAAGCTCACATATCCTAGTAGCATAGAAGCTTCTGAAGCTCTGAAATTGGTGAATTCTTCGTAGCTGTTTTTCACTTTGCTTTCAAAGCTTTTCTCTAGAAACAGCTGTTCAGGTTTTTCAAAAAGTGGTAGTCGGTTGGCTAGAGATCTCTCAGTGAACCAATTCGTAATTGATGGAGGTCACTCAGGGGTCATTCTTACTTAACCGAAAGCAATTACAGTTTTCATCTAACACTTTCAATTTTGCAAATCGTGGAGTCAGTGATAGTTTTCTGAACGTACTCATCATGCTTTCTCCATGCGTTCAACAGGCACGTCTGAGTAATCAAGTAGGAGAAAATATGTGCTTATAGAAAGCATGGGTAAAAGAAAGGTGAGTTTAATGCATGAAGAGAGAGAGCCAAACGCACCACTTGTTAGTCATTCTAACAATCGACAATATTCTTTTCTGTAACACCGTAATGTTGTTAAACTCAATAAGTACTCTAGCTGCCAAAAATTTACCCTTTATTGTCTAAGATACCAGAATTTGGGATGTTTAGACGATGGACGACTTCACGTTTTTTTGGCCTAAGCGAAACCAACGTTGGTTATGTATATGTGGACTTTTCTTGCAATGCTTGGGTAGCCGTGCTACGGTGTTCTCAAGTCATCACCATGCCAATTTGATTTTTCTTGAAGCGAATGAGGTTTTCCGCCTTATGAATCGGACTTTTCCATGGCCGCAGAAACACGACAAATCGTGATGACAATGATCCTAGGATTATTCGGTTTACTGTTTATGGGGCAAGAAATTTGAATACTTGATACTTGGTACTTGAACAGCCCGTCCTCACTGGTTGTGCGGGCTCCAGCATAATCACCATTTCTCGGAGATTTTCTGGTTAAGCCACTGTGGTTCCCTGGAATTCCGAGGTCAGCCTGGCCAAAGTCTGCCCTAAGTAGTCACCACGACAGGCAGTCGGCGCCATTGTGGATCAGAGGGAGATTAGCCACCATATGACTAGTTCGATACCAGGACGGTGGGGGGCCTAGTATTGTTTTACTCTCAGCTGGGCTTCGTGATGGAAACGCCGGACTCGTTTTCAGCTTGGGAGACCCTGCCATAGGGATGAATCGCCTCGCTGTACATCGCAATCCGACACTCAGGAACACCTCCCAGCCACAATGACGCGGTAAACCGTTGGGAAGGAAAAATGTGAAATATGAATAGTTCTTCGATATTTCATACTGGGCCGTGCTCTACACATAATCTGATCTGATTTTAACGCAAAGTAATTCTTACTGGAGTACAATGTTGGAAAGCACAACTTTTTTCCACTCTTATGAACCTTTTAGGATCAAAACGCAACGTTGCGGTCATCAATGTTGAGCAATGATGAAAAGGCTTACTTACGCCTAATACGTGATTTCGCTTACGTGCATCGGGAACCGAACACTCATGGTTTCCGTACAGTAAGTTTTTTCAAAGGTCAAATGTATTCACTAGTTTGAGACCATGACAGCGATCAAGGCTTTCTTATAGCTGGAAAATATTACGAATTCATTGCCCCCAAAAAGTATGGACTATTGGGTTCAGCTTATCCAGTCTCATCTCCAAGAAGTAGAGGTTGACACGTTTCGTAATACGGTACGACAGCCATTGTATTTCAAAAAAAAAACTCCTTAAAATGCCTTTTGACACATTTGAGGTCTTAATTGTCATATAGGAGCTATTTATTTCCATGGAGGCATTACTGCATAGAATAATAAGTTTAAAGTTCAAGGATCTTTGTCTATAAGACCATTGGGTCTTCCTATTCAGCGATGATGAAAGTCTGATCTTTTGGAGTTCACAAACATACTCTTTCCCTTTTTGTCAAGGATTGTTTTCAAGAAACAAATCGTTTGAACAACATGGATTTCGTTCAGCAGAAAACACTTATCCATCAGCTTATTTCGGTTGCTTTAAAATTTAAAAACTATTTGTTGTATTAGTAATTTCCCGGAACTTTTTAAAAGAAGACCCATAAGCGATATGGCCAAATTTTTTCCGTAGGTCTGTCAAGGTCTGAAAATGTCTGCTACTCCATTTACCTAAAAATTGTTGACTGCTGTCTGAAAATCAGCGTCGCCTTGAATGTGTTAAATACCAATTAGAGTTATTTTTTAGGAATTTTTTAATGTTCTTCTTTAGTGCACATCTTTAATCAAAACATTTTTCTGTTGATATTTTTACGAAGTGCTGTCGAATGAAAATATGAGTACATTTGGTTTGTTTAAGCATACGATTGTCTGGACAGGAGGTGATAACTTGGTCTGATCGAATGTGGACGCACTTCGTTGGTCTATTTTGCAGAAAATGGCCAAGACCACCCAACTTCGCACCATCAGATTAAATATTGGTGGTTTCTCAATTAAGCCTAAAGCATTTTTTTGATGAACCCACACGAGATTGCTAACACGTGTCTTTAATTCTCAACTGCTTCTTGATTACCAGAAAAGGCTCTGTTCTGTTGAAGACCCTCACCGTTTTCGTTTTCTCCAGAAACACGGTCCTGTAACGCAACAGTAGTGACGACGTGTAATTCGCTTAAAGCGCTTGTTCTACCACACGCTAAGCTAGGCAAACCTTCGATCCATCCTGGGTCAGAGAACTGGTGCCATACTTCTCTGGCAAACTCATTGAGAATCACGAACCCTAGAAACGCTCTAGCAATGGGTATCCCATTATCGGGTTTCGGAATGGGAGGAAACCTGGGATCAGCATAATACATGGGTGGGCCCACTTTTTAATAATCGAAAACGGTGAGTGATTGTTGATGACTAGTGCTCAGTTTTAACACCAACTTTTTAATAGGACTATTGAATAATCACAGAATGAGACTATAAAACAATGCGTCAATGTTCCGAAGAAGACAAGTCTCCGAAATTCTAGCAGTCGTAGGATAAATATGTGCGTTAACAAACTCGTGTGTGCTCATCAACGAGAGTTCTCCCTCTTCAGTCATACCTATACCTAATGGTAATTCGGTGTTTTCTTTTCCTATACACATGTTATAAAATGATTTTTTGATGCCGGTTGATCTGCCATTCGTTACTTTAAATTTAAATGAACAAACATCTTTCAGTAGAACAGGAGGGAAAATTTTTCAGTTCCGAGGCTGCTCTATTGACCCTAGATTGTTCGCTTGCTTTTCCACTGAGTAGCAGTGATACGCGATCGTGGCAAATTGCGCTTACGGATGCCTACTTAGCTTATTAGATGATGTTTCATTTGAACTACTCCTCTTCACGTCTACTGTGCGGATCGCAGCACTTCTCACACTCGGTTCGCTTTCACGCATCTGTCATCCATTAAAGACCGGCTACTTGATTTCTGAGATTGCCTGGCTATAGTGTTCCCAGCTGGATTGAAGAGATTGATTTTTTTTTCGGACAAGTTCGGCACCGATTTTCTAATCCTGAAAAGGATGAGGAGCTTGATGAACGGGAGCGGGATCGAACCAGCATCGTGCTCATGATGGCTGGCATCATAACCACTGAAATAGCAGCCCCTACTAGATGATTACGTGGATTATATCTAAATAAGGGAGATAATTTAAACACAAGTTGGGTAAAACGGTATATTATCAAGGATACGTGATTTGCACCACTGGTAAGTTTGATCACTCACAGTCTCCTCCCTCTCCTTCTTTCTATGTCTGCTTTCCTATCCTTTTTCCGTGCTTAATTCCCGACGTGTTTTGTTTTCACCATACCCAATCTACGCCGTTTCTTCCAGCTTCGTTACTGCACTAACATCTGCACCTTGAGAACCATTTATCCGTTTCACTCTCTCTCTCTCTCTCTCTCTCTCCCTCGACTTTTCTCAGTTTACCGCATGGGATTACCTATGTTTTCTTCGACTCCTATTATCGATCGACAATCGATTCCAGGTTATCCACTTACTTACCTGAATACTTGGACGGCCCGTCCGCATTAGTTGTGCGGGTCTCAGCATAATTTCAAAGTTGTCGGAGTTTTGCTGGTTAAGCCATTGTGGTTCCCTGGAGTCCCGAGGACAACCTGGTCAAAGTCTGTACCAGCTCTTCACCACCACAGACCGTCGCCGCCCTTATGGGTCAGAGGGAGATTCGCCACCATGCGACTCGTTTGATACCAGGATGGTGATGGATCCTGGTATTGTTTTACTCTTAGCTGGGCTTCATGATGGATACGCGGAACTCATTCACAGCTCGGATGCTCTGCCGAGGAGATGAATCACGCCGCTGAACATCGCAGCCCGATATCCAGGAACACCTCCCAGCCACGATGAGGCGGTGAACTGTTGAGAGGACCGAAGTACGAAAAGAAATATTTGGAACATTATGTTTTACACAAACTTAAATGCATAAGTTGTTTGGAATAACACAGTCTTCCAAATTTAAACCAACACCAAATGAAACGAAAACTATTAAAATACCTGACGTAAATGTAGTACATGCAACATATACGATATGGTACCTACCTTGTGTATTCCTATGTGAAGAACAATGCATCGGCAGTTAATACCGAGGTAAAATGAAAGACAGTTTTTAAAGTGGGTATATAAACAGACAAATACGTGGATATATAAATTATATACATGTGTATCACCTGTATCACCCGTCTTCCCGTTGATCTTCGAGTGACTCGAGCGGGCACCAGTAAACTTTCTATGTCCACCTGCCGCGAGTGACAGTAGCCTAGTGGGGTATGCTCAATCCATGGACTCGTTAAGCATTCTACTCATTAAATTCTCGTTGCTCTTGAAAGCTCTCTGAGCTGGTCGCTTCCTCCTGCTCAAATCTGGGGCTAACTCGTTCATCACATTGATTTCCGGACCTAGAGAGACATAGCTGGGCATTCGGAGATGTTGAGCGTGAATGGGAAATGTGAAACAAAACCTTTTCTCACGAACGTGGTTTTTATGAGATCTTATCAAACAGCAATCTTTCCACAGGCGTTATCAAAGTTAGAAACCATTTGTTCCACGTGGATAATCCGTGTTGTTACTAGGATGATGTCATCAGGAGAGTCCACTGCAGTGTCAGCATGACGTTATCGAGAGTTGCGATAAATTATCGTGGCGAGATGGTATCGCCTTGCCTAAGAACTCTTTTGATGTCGATGTTAACACATTTATGAAATGGTCATGTTTTCGACTTGAAGGTTTTTCAACAGCTTTTGAAAAATCGTTATACGCTTTTGGGATGTCTTCGCTGTGAAGGGCTTTCATGACCGCTTCTATCTCAACCGACTCAAAAGCTGTCCTTAAAGCGATAAAAGTGAAGCAGAACGGTCTCTTGTACTACAGCGATACCTCAATGAATCTTGCCGTCATGTGAATGCGGTCCACTCTACTGAATTCTTTTTGAAAGCCTTGCTCACATAGCTGTCTTTCGTCCAGTAATCTGTCAGCCCTCTTTGGGACGACTCGAGTAAAAACTTTGTAGACGCCAGACAGCAGGCAGATAGGGAAGTAGTCGCTGATATCGTTGAAGTCACCCTTCATGATCAATGGCATACATTTGCCAGTCTTCCACTATACAGGAACCTTGAATTTTTACAGGTTAAGTGTGAAGAGCCGGACCAGCATGTTGACGACGACTAGCGGAAGGATAACAAGACTCATTGAAGCGTCGGGAGAGTACAAAGATCGCTCTGTTTTACTTGCATCGATTTAAAGATGGCATTTGGCTCAACTAAGATAGAAGCAATTACAGAAGCCCTTGGTAGTCAGGGAGCCTTTACTCAGTATATGAAGATTCTTCGTGAGCTGTACAAAATATTAACAACCAAGGTATCACCATTCTACAACGATATTAAAATCAACCTCAAAAAAGGGGTTAGACAAGGCGATAGCATCTCGCCAAAAGTATTTACCGCCACCCTCGAGAACGCCATGCGTATATTGGAATAGGACAATATGGGAGTGAAAATCGATGATTGGCAATTACACCATTTTCGCTTTTCTGACGACATAGTTTTTATAACACCAAACATTAGCCAGGCGAAACGAATGGTGGCCGACTTTGATTAAAGCCTGTGGAAAGATTGGTCTCCGACTAAATTTCAAAAAAACGATGTTCATGAGAAACGTATTAGTTTTGTATGCCCCATTCACGCTCAGATATCTCTTAATGCTCCATTTACATATATCTAGATCGAGAAATCAGTATGATGAACGACAGCTCCAGAGTTCAGCAGAAGGAAACGAGCGGCTTGGGGAGCTTTCAGGTGCATGGAGAATGTACTGAAGAGAACAAAGAACACCCGACTCCGTGCCCACGTTTTCGACTCAACGGTACTTCCTGCCCCAACGTATGCGTCAGAAACCTGGTCGCTGCGTAAGCAGGATGGAAGATCACTCAGCGTTATCGAACGAGCAGTCGAAAGGACGATGCTAAGAGTAATCCGTGTCACCTAAGTAATAGAAGGGATTCGAAGTTCCGACTTGCGTCAGCGATCAAAAATCAAAGATGCCGTTCTATACTCTAAACTGTCGAAGATAAGGTGGGCCGGACATGCTGTACGTATTAACAATAATCGATGGACAAGAGCCGTTAGTGACCGGAATCCTCGTGATGTCCAACGTACAACAGGAAGACCACTGAGCCGATGGTCAGAATTCTTCACGAAGAGCCTAAAAAAAAGATGTGATATTTT